TGGAACCCTCCTGTCCTGTTTTTGTAAATATTTTGTTATTGTTTGCTGTTTTCGGGGTATTCAATAGTTATTTTTCTCGTTTATTGATTGTAGATTTGTGTGTTTCGTCCCTTTTTTAAAAAAAAATTTGACTATGTTTGAGCAGGCAGGCTGTGTGTTCTTTGTTTTTTGCTCGTCTTTAGCCACAATACTTTTCGCTTCCTTCTTCAACTGGCAGGGTCAGTCACTCAGATATGGTACGGCAGGGCAGGTCTAGCTGAAGAGGAGTTACTGGGACAGGTTGTTTGTGGCAACTTAGAGGGGGTCGGTAATCAGTGCAGGGCACGTTCCAGTAGGCCATGCCTGTGCTGGTTGGTGGTGTGATGTCAAGCGCACGGTGCAGGTAGGCAGGATGCAGCGGGCAGATTGTTATGTGTGGAGCTAAGATGGATATGGGAGAGAGGAGAGAGGAACAGGAGCCAAAAACATACAAATGAAAAAGAATGCTAGGGGACCTTGCCGTTGGAATGGAGAGATGAGAGACTATGTATTGGAGAAAACAGAAAGGAGAGGCGGAAAAAAAGAATGAATAAATAAGAATCAGAAACGTTAAAGAACCACAAAGTTCCCAGGGATCTCACCGGTGCAGCTGTGAGGTCTGGGGAAGTTGCTCTCAGGTGTTGCAGTACAGCCTGGCTAGAAAACGTAGAGGTATACAACGTCAGGTATTCAGAGAACAGAAAGAGAAGGAAGATATAGAGAGATGAGAAACTGAGCAATGAAGAAAGACAAAAAAGGAAAAAGAGGAATAACAAAACAAATTAAAAAAACAAAAAGGAAAGGCTCCCAAAGAAGCAGAAAAAAAATCAAAAAAACCAACGTAAAAAGAGATTCTCTCAGCGATCCATCTGCACGTCTGTGGAAGCTGAAGGGGCGTCCCCTGCCATGCAGCTTAGCCTGGCTAGAAGGGGCTCCCAACTCAAGAAAAGGAAAAGAAAACAAACAATTCACAGCAAACAAACGAACAAATGCCCTGGGATCCCACCAGCGCGGCAGCCCAAACCGGGAAGCAGCTCCACACTCGAACAGAGCTCCACAGCTCTTCAGGAAGAAACAAAGATGGTACACAGCGCCAGGTACTTGAGCGGAAGGGGGGGGAGGTGGCGAGAGGCAAGTAAGAAGTCAAAAGAAGCAGAAAAGAAAAGCAACACTAGCAGCCAACAGATGGCACTCAGAGAGCCAGCTAGTGTGGGCTGGTGTTTCTGGACAAGAGACTGTGTCCGTGGGAAGCAGAGGGGGCCGAGTGTGGGTGAAGAAGGGTAGAGAGTGGGAAAGCGTATATCACAAATTGCCGGAGCTCTGCAGCCCCTCAGGAAGAAGCAAAGATGGCGCATGGAGCGAGGTAGTTGAGCTAAAGGAGGGGGAGGTGGGGAGAGGCAAGGAAGAAATAAAAACAAGTGGAGAAACAAAACCAGCAGTCAACAAATGGCACTCAGACAGCCACCTGTTCGGGTTTGTGGAATCCAAGCAGCTGCTGTTTCCCGGTCAAGAGACTGTGGCCGCGGGAAGCAGAGGAGGCCGAGTCGGGGTGAAGAAGGGTGCGGGGTGGGAAAGCATATATCACCAATTACCGGTTGTTTTGTCTTCTGCTGGAAGGTCTGTGAGGCTGCTTTCTCGTACCCCATTTGCTGGTCTCCGATAGGAGTCCGAGATGGCGGATCCGTGCTGCATTATCTGGTAGGGGACCTCTGCATGAATCTCTCCTCGCTCTCCGTTCTCTGTCAATTTTCTCACTCCATTTGATGTTTGGGTGAGTTATCTCTTCATTTGATGTTTTAGAGTTTCAGGATTGTTGTATTTTCTGTTTGGCTTAGTTTTTCCGATCTTTGCTGTGGAGGGACGGTGTGGTGCTTCTGCCTAGAGAGCCATTTTGCCAGAGCTCCCTGATTACAGGTTTTGAGCTTCAGGTTTGTATCCAGCCTTGTGTTAAATTCTGGGTAAGACAGAGCTGGTGAAGGACGTGGCTGTGGCCTTGTGGTTTTAGATGGATGCCAGTTCTCTCACTTGCTGTGTGTCTTTGAGTCAGTTTCTTTATATCTTTGAACTTTGCCTTTCTGAAATAGTCCTGTTTTTACAGAACTTATTTTAGGGATTTGATGTGAGGCCTAAATCAGATAATGACTTTAAGCTATTAGTGCAGCGCCTAACAGGTAGTAATTACTCAATAGAAGCTGGCTCTCATTGGTGTTATTACCGTAAAGGTCTGTCAAGTACCTTTGTGTAACAGGTCGTTAACAGAAATATAGAAATGGTTCAAATGTTGCAGTCATGCTTCTAGCCTGGCGAGAGTAACCTGGACACAGACCTGTAGAGAGAGACTAAGGACTAAGCTGTGTCCCTACTCAGGTCTGTGTGAGCACGAGGGGTGAGGGGGGCCTCATGGGGTCAGTCAGTGTCTTCGAAGTAAAGGGATGAAGGTGGGAGGGTGTGATCTCTGCAGGAAGGGGCGCCTCATACCACCAAGAAAGAAGCACCAGGAGCAGAGTGCATCCTTTGGACCCAAGGTTCCTGTGCAGAGAAGCTCCTAGTCCGGGGGAAGACTGATGATGATGAGGACCTTTCTCCAGAGCCAACAGAGAGAGAAAGCCTTCTCCTGGAGTTGATGCCCTAAATTTGGACTTGCAGTCTACTGGACTGTGAGAGAATAAATTTTTCTTTGTGAAAGCCAGCCACTTGTGCTATTTCTGTTGCAGCAGCACTAGGTGAGTAAGATAGATGTGTTACCAGGAAGGATCAGTCCCTGGAGAAGGACATCATGCTTGGTTAAGTAGGAGGTCAGCAAAAAAGAGGAAGACCTTCAACGAGATGGATTGACACAGTGGCTACAACAGTAGGCTCAAGCACAACCTTGATTGTGAGGATGGCGCAGGATCGAGCAGTGTTTCGTCCTGTTGTTCAGGGGGCACTATGAGTCGGAACCAACTTGATGGCACCTAACAACTTGGTAGACCACAATCATTCAATTTATATAGTAACCAATTCCCACAAGGTCATTTAACCCTATTGGGTGGTTTACATACCTTATTTGCATAGTATAGGGTCTGTAGGATCCAATCCCTGCAAGATGCGTAAAGTAGACCAATCACAAAGCAGGCTGCAGCGCAATCAATTATCTTTGGCAGAATTATAAACCCAAGGTCAGAAAGGCAATATATAAGAGAAACTTATCGCAACATAGATATGATACCTAAGAATCCATTGTTGAAAGCTAATATGTGAACAAATAAGCATTCTTTTTAAAACTGTAAAAATATCCATGTTTAAAAAAGTTAAAAAATGAGTAGAGGAAAAACGATCATTAAACACCACTTGTAATCTCAACATCAGCAGAAAAGTGTGGTGCCTTTTTTTTTTTTTTTCCTTTTCTAGAGGTTAATATTCTAGAAGTACTCTGTTTTGGGACTGGAGTGCCTCTTGGAGACATGACTGGTCGTTTAGTCACTTCATGTCAAATTCAAACTTTCATTCAAAACTGCTGAATTCTCCTAGTTCAGAGGCTCAGATAATGCCACAATACCAGCTTACATTTTCTAAAGGCCTAATACATGCCAGAACGATGCTGTTCCTTCCTCTGGCTTGAGGTTTCAGAAATGGGAATGGAACCTGTTTTAGAGGTTACAGTTTGAGTCTTTGTGTCTAGTAGGCAACCTGCAGGTTGAGATATGGGCTCTTGGGTACCGATGGATTCAGACACCATATCCTTCCCATAGTCCACCTGAAGCACTAAGGCTCTGAAATGTAACATGTGCAGGATAGAACTTTAACCATCTCATCTGAACAAATCTCCTCACTTTGCTTTCCCATACCAGTAAATGGCATCAGCATCCATTCTCTAGGGGAAATAGCTCAGGCTACTCTGTGAGATTTACATTATGAATACAGCCTCTGGACTTTTCTGCTTTTTCTTTTGTCACAGGAAGGTATAATTTCTACCCAGGAGCAAGAGGCATGTTTCAAAAATATAAACCAAGTAAGCTATCAATCACATATAGGATAAGATCCATATATTTTATGTTGGCAAACAAGATCGTATCTGGACAGGCTTATGCGTAGCTCTCTGACTTAAATTTATAGCACTCACCCTCATATTAAATAAGCTCTTGGCACATGTTTTAAAAACTTTTTCAAAGATATTAAGATTATCCCTGTCTCTCATCTTTTGTAGCAAGTATTTCCTTTGATTAGAGGAAAACTTTTTAACCACAGGAATCCGATAATTGTGACAATTCAGGTCTCACTTCAAATATCACTTTCTCAGAGTACCCCTCCTATCCCCCCCCCAAATTTCTCCAACTCATTTCTTGGTTTAAATGTCATTGCATTTTCAGAATGTGGTAAATACAGTTTAGGTTGACATTAACCTTAATCATATAAATACAACCAAATTGAATTATTACCTTTACTTTAATCTACTCTATTTGCCTATGTCACAGGTTTCCAGCTAACAAAAAGCCGGCAGGCTCTGTGTTGTGGTGATGGCAACGTTCACCCCTCTCTGCTTGTTGGTCACTTACGGTTCTGGGGAGTCCACTAGAGCTGTGATGTCCACTTGGCTGGTGTGGCTATTTCAATTAAAATTAATTAAACCAAAAGAAAAAATTGAGTTCCTTAGTTACATTAGTCACACGTTAAGTGCTGAATAGCCACATGGGGCTAGTGGCTATCCTATTGGACTGTGCAGAAGCTGAACATGTTTGTGTTCAGAGTAAGTTCTACTGGATAGTGCTGGTCAAGAGTATATACAAGAGGTGATCATCTGTGTGCATCCTCAGTGATAAGTGTCATAAGCCAGAAGGAGCAAAAACCAAAATACAGGGTTTCTGCCCGTAGATTTACTGCCTAGTATGGGAGACAGTTTTAAATAAATAATGAAAAATCAGGGACATCTGATTTTAATAAAAAGTACCTGAGAGTTTAGACTGCTTGAAAGGAAAAATTACTTAAGATAAAAAAATTAGATTTAGGTGCATACATGGTTGAGCACGGCTGATAGCATGTGGGATAGGTGGGAGTGGAAAGAGCATTTCAGAAAAAAATGACTGTGTAAATCCCTGAGGCAGCAGAGAACCCTGCGTCCATTTCTTGATAAAAGTCAGAGATGATAGAAACAGAGAAAATAGTGTGGATTGGGGGCAGAGGAGTTGTCATGAGCCAGATTGAAGGAGGTGATGGCAGCAGGTCGTTTAGAACATGGTGACCACTCTAGGCTTTTCGAAGGCTAGCAGACAGCCACTGACGGGGATTAAGCAGAGATGAGTAGGAGTATATCTCTGATTTAAAACAACACTTCAGTTCCTGTACTGCAAATAGAATTTGGAAATGACAACTGATTGGATGACGTCAGGCAGGAGCTTCTTATGAACAAGTTAAGGACGACTGTGAGGTAGCCTAGACATTGTGATTAGTTGTGGATCAGGAAGATACTGGGTGATATAATGTAGATGGTTGAAGGGGCATCAGTTGATAGAATGTTCTTTCTTTGAATTTCAGGTTATAGAGCAGTGAACGCTTCTCAAAGTGGAATGTTGATGTGAATAACCCAGAGATCTTGTTAAAATGCAGAATTTGATTCAGCAAGTCTGGGAAGGGATTGAAATTTTACGTACCAGACATGCTCGTAGTGTATGCTGAAAATAGTAAGTGTGAAAATAAGGATGAGAATTAAAATTAGAGACGGCTATTCGAGAAAATAATAAAAGGAAAGATAATGGTTAATGGGGAGACACTGGTATAAAGACCACGAGAGAGAGAACATTTATACTGAGACCACAAAATAAAACGATGGGAGTCAGCTGGATGGGAAAGTGAGGTGGAAAGAAACAGGAGCAGAGGTGGGAGAGGGTTCCTCAAAGAAAACTTAATAATTTTACAATATGTTGGATGATTTGATTATTATAAAGTTGAAAGAGAAGGTGTTCAGGAATTCTAGATTTCTCAAAAGCTTAGGGACTGGTGGTGTCATGCTCTGAGAGCAAAGAAAGAAAAACTCAAGAGGAAGAAAAAAAATTATTTGTAAAAACAAGAAAAAAAATACTGATCACATATTAAAATGCTACAAATTAAATGAAAAAAAAAATTTAAAAAACAACCTGTTGCCTTTCATTTCTAGCGGAGGCCTGCGTAGCTGTGTGAAGAGTGCAAGTGTGTGCTCTGGAAGGCTGGAGGCTGATCTGCCTTAAATGCAGATGCTCTCAGGGTGGAGCATTGCCTTGAGCCTGGGAGGAGGTCCTGCCCAGGGACAGAACTGAAGGCCAAGAATCTGACACTCCTCCCTTAACACTGTCTTCCCCCCACCTTCTCTTTCAGGTCCCAGGTGTAACACAGGGAGAACTATTCCAGTCTAGGCAGCTGGGGACCTAGGGTGACCATCTTGCATATCTTTGCAATCAAGTAAGGATTTCAACTGCTGTGATTGGTGTGTGGACCAAACATTATTTATCTGTCTCCAGACTGCCCAGTGGCTCTGCTTCCACTCCCATCCCTCTTACTGAAGTGGCTTTTTGGGCTCAGAGAGGACATTCACTTAGACTTCTAGAAGGTGGAGCAAGGACATGGTAAGTATTGTGCTGAGCGGGTTTATCCTTGCCATAAGGGAGTGAGGCTGGATGTGAATTGAGGACCAGCCGTGTGCTCTGTCCCTGTGGTTCCTCAGTGAGGTAAAAAGGTGGCACAGGAGGCCAAGGGACTGGCCCTGGGAGGCATTCTAAGGCCCTGCTCCACCGTCTCTGGGCCCTTCCTCTACACGTAATGTGTTTTTCAAGCATTGGATGCCTGGGGTCACCTTCCTAATGTGACTCTTGGAGCTGGCACCATGGGGCAATAACATTACTACCCTGGGCCTTGGCACTCTGTGTTATTGACAGGATCTCCTGACCAGAGCCTATGGGTGGAGCAGCTCTGGCTGAGCAGGCTGAGCCCCAGGCCCTCTAGGGCCACCATCCTTGTCCCATCACTGAAAACTGTTCTTGGCTTCCCCAGGTACTGCAGGCTTTTCAGTGCAGTTCTAACGCTATACCTCCAGCTGTCATACTGTGTGATGGGTAAAGAAGTGGGGAGGGAGTTTGTAGGGGTAGACCATGACTGTTTATGAGGTCCTGAGTAGGGCTTAGTGTTCTCATGACATTGTCACCAAAGGAATGATGCTGGGGAGAGTGAGTCCAGCTGGTTGTAGTGTGGGGTCTCCAGACCCATCCTTTTGCAGTGGGGAATGCTTTTTTTTTTTTTTTAATTGTACTTTAGGTGAAGGCTTACAGAACAAATAGTTTTTTATGAAATGGACATACACGTTATTTTATGACATTGGTTAACAACCCCACAACATATCAACCTTCTAACTTCTCGATCGCTTTTTTTTTTTTTTTTTT